TGTGAATTGACAGTTGTGACCACAATGTCTGTTAAAAATATATCCAAATTTCTATTTATAGGTGTTCTCAGTCTTCCAGAGAGTGGGAATGTTTTCACTCGGTGCTGCTTGGCTCTGCAGTTTCTCCCCCTGGAATGGAGTCATCGTCCTTGTCATGATTAATGAGGCTGTTTATAAAAATACTGTTTCAATCTGACAGAGAGGTCCCTGGGCTGCCTCCTGCAAGGGGCCAGAGCCAGGAGGAGGAAATGATTTTGGTTTCCTCTGGCTGATAACACCACACAGATTTTAGGAAGAGGATCCAGGAGCTTGACCATGCCCGCAGCACAGCCTAGCTGCCTCTGCAGCCCTCTGATCTGCATTGCTGAAGAGCTCACTAGCTCCATTTCCAGGCCCAGCAGTGAATATTGACCCTTGAGGTCCCTTTGCCCAAGGACCTGTAAGACCTGGTGCATCACACAGCTATGAGGAGCTCACCACGTGTCGTGCAGGGGCTCAGCAACACTGACTGGTCTCTCTCCTCGTTCAAAGAAACAAGGTTAGGGCTGGTTTAGGACCTTGATTCCCTGCTCTTCCCTTCTCATGTCTAGTCCAGGACCCTGTTCCTGATGGCTGAAGGTCCTTGTTGGTCTCTGAGGCAGAGACCTGCTCAGGACTTGCACTCTGTGCTCAGTCTCACTTGTGCATACGCTGGATATCCTGCTGGATAAAAAATCCCCAGCAGCTTCTGTTCAACAGCTTTACTGGTTTGCTTTTTAGCCTCTAGAAAGCTCATTGGTTTAGGGACAGCAGAAAGTGACTCACCCAAGTGGCAAAGTGGTATTTTCTCCATCTTACAGATGGATAGAGAGCTGCTAAAACCATTTACCCTAATCCACACCATCAGACAAACGCTTCCGGTAGTTGGGAACACATCCCATACCAGAGGACATATTAGATGAGAGTATTTTAGCACCGTACTGCAGATGCACAGAAACAAAAACACGTCTGTTTTGGTGCCCTAACATCTGTCTTATTGCGAGGACCTGTAATTGTGGCAGTTCTGGTGTTATGTTTGGTACTCTTCATCTGTCTAGACGAGAGGGCCAAATTCTCCACATGGAAGAAGCACCCACATCGTTTTAACAATGGTGCTGCTCTTGTACTTACTTGCATTATGGGTTTGGTTCCATGCCAGGGAATTTGCCTTCAGGAACGTGGTTTTGTCATTGGAACGATTCCCTTCTCCTGTATGACCCTGCTTTTCTGCCTGACATCTGGGGCTGTCCTACCAGGAATTCACTGCAATCTGCAACTTTCTCACTGCTTTCTAGGAAGTCCTGGCCACTGCAGAGGAGGCCTGGCTGTGCAGCAGCCTCCAGCTCTTTCTTGGCATCCTCAGAGGATGCTTGGATGGAAGGAGGCATCACAGCTTTTGGGATGCTCTGAAGATAGAAGGGGAGCAAAAAGGGCTCCCCACAGGGAGGTTCCCAGGCCATGCCCAAAGCCAGGGGTGTCACCTGCCCTTCAGAGGGTCTCACTTGGCCACTGTCACCCCAGGAGGGTTGAGGACAGGCCTGCCCGCAGGAGAGAGCAGTGGCAGGACCAGGACTCCACGAGACACATTGCAGGGAAGGGACTTGGCACAGGAGCACATTCAGGATCAGGCTGGGATAATTCCAGCAGGAGCACAGCACTGCCAGCTGCACCAGCAGGCCTGGTAGCTGGGGAAGGATGGTGATGCTAGAGGAGAAGGCCAGGCAAGTGACTGGCTGCAAACACCCCTCACTTGGGCTCCGGAGGGATATGGACACCCTCATGCCAAAGAGCAACCTAAGATACTGGTCTTGCTTGACTCTTCTTACCCATTCCAGCAGCGCAGTTGTCCCAAGGCTTCCCAGCCCAAATCCCACTCTGACTCCAGAGAGATCTCCTGTAGGCAGCTGCCAGGCCAGTCCTGCCTCCAAGGCTGTTCTGGAGACACACAGACCCTCTTGCTACAAACCCCACGCTGCACGTGGCTTTCTCAGTCACACAGGGAGCAGGAGCAAACCACAGATGCATGAAGTGCTTTATTCTGTTTTGCACCTGCTGAAAGGCTATATCATCATTTGATTGCATTAAAATTATTGTAGTAGAGAAACATGCATAATGTTGTGTTTTTGTGGTTAACATGCACAAGCTCTGCACTGGAGGAACGGTTACCTAAGGATGAAAGGGGTGATAGGACAGAGGTGCCTCCCCATGTGCACATGTTGGCATATCTGCATATGTAAGGAGCAGAAGCAGAGCTGCTGTATCTGAGCTCATGCTTCCTAGAGCTGCTTAAACATAACTGAGAGTGGAGGCAGTGGTTCATTAAAAATGGAATATTCACACCTTGAGGTCCCTCAGCGCGAGTATGGAATGCAGCTGAAATAATTCCTCTCTGCCTGTGGCATAGCACATTCAACCAAGCTTACCAAAGACTTCCCCGTGGTCTTGAGTGGATGAATGTACGTGACCACATTCAGGAGGTTTAAGTTGCTGCCCATCAGCTGAAATGCAGGAACCAGCTGGAGCACAGCTCTTACCCACTGCCATGCAAAGGAAATGCAGGAAACGTTTGTAGCTGACTACTTCATGGGGCAGGAACTCGTTAAATCACTTGAAGGGGATCAGTGCGCTTTGCTGTCCACCTGCACATGGTTTGGAGTGAGAACATCGTTTGGGTCAACCACTTCCAAAAGTGCCAAGACAAAAGGCACAGAGCACACGTTCAACCCATGCCTTCTAGTCCCAACATCTTTGGCCACTCTTTGCTGGTTCAGGTAACACCAAATCTGGTTGTTAAGGTGGATTGAGTGTTCGACAGCCACTGAACGTGAGGCAGCAGTGTCCCCAGGGGACCAAGGCAGCCTGGCTGGTGTCACAACAGTGTGTCCAGCAGGGCAGGGATCGTCCCACTGTGCTCCGCTCCCCACAACTACCTGGAAGGGGGCTGAGGTGAGGAGGGGTCAGTCTCCTCTGCGGAATAACGACAGGTAGGACAAGAGGAAACGGCCTCAAGGTGCCCCAGGGAGGTTCGGGTTGGATATCAGGAAAAATTCCTGCATGGGAAGAGTAGTCAAGCATTGGAACAAGCTGCCCAGGGAAGTGATGGAGTCACCATCTCCAGCAGCATTTAAGGAACGTGAAGATGAGGCACTTGGGGACATGGTTTAGCAGGACGGTGTTGAAGGGCTTCTGTTGGACTCAATAACCTTGAAGGTCGTTTCCAGCCATAATGATTCTATGATTCTGTGAGTGGGCACATGGGGTTTTGTGCAGCCATAAGCAACTCACAGAGAGAAAGAATCCCCCAGTCACGTAACATTTGCTCTCTTTTCCCTTGTGACATTCTCACAGTGTTCCAAGGATCAGCCAAGACTTGGTCTCACTTTTCCAGGCTGAGGCCCTCTTCTACAAACTGATCCTTCTCCTTGTTACTCACTGCTCTGTCTCCCTAGGTCCTCACAATCCTTGCATGAATTATTACCTATTTCCCTTTTCCAGTTTCTTATACATGATGATATCAGCTACTTGCTCAAGTGCAAACTGCCTGAGATGCCCTTCATTGCTTGACAGTGGTGTCCTCTTTCTGCAGATGGTACCAAGGACAGTAGGTACATTGCAAGATACATTATCGTAGGGTTGATAGGTCAGGGACCATCATAATGAAAGAGGAAGGGCAACTTCTTACCTACTACTTCTATACAAACATACCAGATACAGTCCTCCCTGAGCATCTCCAGCGATTCTCAGAGTTATACCTTGAATTTATAAGAACATGAGAACAGGGCTGGTTTCAAGAGATGCTTCTCTGTGTCCATGGCATGAAAACGGCCTCTTAATTTTTACATAGTCTCACTCTAAAGTTGCTATTTAGAAAATAGTCTGAGAGCAAAGGCTGTAATGGATTTTTACTGCTCGAGTGTGTTACATAGGCTGAGGGCTACAAGTGCAATATACTTTGTACTAAATACCTCTGACAGCATTTTCTCTTACAGCTCAGTGTCTTACGCCTCCAGTGTCCTGAGACCAGAGCACTATGCAATGCTGAGCTCTTAGCTGTGGGCTGTAATCCAGACTGTCATTTTTCCAGTCCTGTTCTAGGAAAAATTGGACCACCTCACTTTGTTGAAACACCTGGAATTCCCCATAGGCTAATGCAGGGTTTTCAGGATTCCAAGGGGAGCATAGCCATGCTTTTGTTAGGCTGTGTTCAGTAAGAGCAAGAGCCAGCTCAATGAAGAGCACTATCCACTAAACCTGAGCTCTCTTGTGCTGCTTTCTCCTCTTGCCTGCACCAACTTAACTGCTTTCCAGAAGAATTACTGAAAGAAAACAAGGGCCTTAATTTCCACCCACTGTTTTCCACGCTATGTAGGCACAAAGGCTATAGGAGGTCTCTGTGGACCTTGGAAGAAGATAAAATCCTGCTTGGCACATGCCACGCGGTGCAGTTCCTCCTGCTGAGGACATCTTCCCTGCTGTCCCAGTAAGCGGATAGCCGGGAGCTATTCCCACCCCGGGGTTTGCCAGGTTTCTGTGGTGGAACAGCTGCTGGAGAGCACATGATTCCTTTTGCGCTTTGTTTGCTGTTTTTCATGCATGTGGACATAAAAAACCTCAGACAAAACAACCCAGAGGAGAGGAAGGTTAAGTGCAGAGAGCCTTCTGGATGTGCTGCCGTTGGGAGCTTCCCGGTAACACATCTGCTTCCATCGTTAGGTCTTTTGGCTGTGCAAGTTGCAGAAGATGCTGAGAAGCGAACATCACTGTGTGAACAAACAGGCTCATGAGACTGTCCAAAGGTACCTCAGGCACCTTCTCTTTGCTCTGGCCTTGAAGGCTGCGGTTCTCTGCGGGTTACTGCGGTCACTGTTTGCTGGTGCTGTCCCATGGGCGGTATTGGGTGACAAAGACAGTTCCTTTCATTTTTGCGAGTGCTGGGAGGGTTTTGGATGGACCAGACCAGCTGGGAGCTGCAGACCTTCTGGCTGGCACCCACCGCCTCCTCTAGAACTCATAGGCAGACACGAAGACTGTGATTTTGGACAGGTGCTTTGCCTGGAAAGCGCGGTCCAGGTACTCGGACATGTCCACATCCACCTCTATCGTCTGGGGGCCCTTCAGGCTTTGCACGAGGATGAGCTCCCCGGTCTGCCTGTCGGAACGCTGCATCACGAAGTGCCCTCTGTTGTTGCCTCCCACGATCCCAAAACGCAGGCTGTCCGGGCCCGGCCGGCCAGGGGCAGAGGCCGTGGCCATGCGGAACAGAGGGGTGGGAGTTATCAGGTTGGATGGCAGCGGGAGGTAGTGGAAGGAGATGGTTTTGGCTGCGTGGTGGCAGGCTCTGCTGTCCATCGGGCAGGGGTTGCGCTCGCACTGGCTGATAACAAAAGGAAAAACAAGTTTGAGGTGAGCCCCAAGAGGAATAGGGATGCTCCAATCCAAGCTCCCAGGCCTAAGAATACAGTAGTCCAGGTTTCACATCATTCCCAAAGAGCATCCCAGATCTCCTCATGGTACTTACAAGGGTGATGTTTTCACGTAGCTGATGTTGCCACTGGACTGGGGGCACTCTGGGCTGACACACTGAAAACCCCCTCCTGTGTTGATGCACGTGGTTCCCCTCGTGCAGTTGTTCTGGGACAGCGCGCATTCGTCTATGTCTGTAAAGCAACCACAGCAAATCCAACAAAATAACCAAATCTTACTGGAAACACCTAAATCATACTCCTGCCGCTTCTCTTCTGCCTTTCCCCTCTGATTTTGCCTGCAGATTAACTGGCCCAGGGCTAGTCGAGGTTAAATGGGGAGTTTGAGAAAGAAGTTGTAGCAGCAGGAGGACAGGCTGTTTTCCTAACTTTATGCTTGAAACACACACAGACACACTGAATGTAGATACCTGTATTTTCCTAACTTTATGCTTGAAATACATTGTCTTTTTGAGACACCCACAGACACACTGAATGTAGATACCTGTCTATAAGTAAAATTAGGACTTTTTCATTTAGACATTTGTTGGAAGCATCACCAGTGTTCTATCAAACCATGCAATAGCTGTATAGGAAATAACACTTATGGAAAAAGAAAGGAGCAGGAGTTTCTCCATATGACATGCCTTTTGGGCAGTACTCACCATTTTTAGTTTACAAAATCTATTTTTTTCCAGCAGAGCACACTTATGCAAGCAATTCTGGCCACCATGTCTACCTCATGTCATTTTATTTCCCCTCTGCCCAAATTCTCCTGTTTTAAGAAAATAAGTTGTCAACCTCTGAACTAATCTCTCAAGTCTAATTCTTGGTGTTGTTGAACTAATCTCTCAAGTGTAATTTGTGGTGTTCAGATAGACCTGCTGCCTCAGAGAACACACTAGAAGTGTTTAAATGGGACAGATCCATGTTCATGAGGGTGCTCATGCTCTTTATTCGAAGTCCTCAAACCAAACCATCCAAACCTCCAAGTTTTGGATGTGTTTACCAGCGTTTACGGCTAAGTGTTGTCATTTCCCCAACGTCCATCCCGGAATACTTGTCCATAAAAGCGAGGTTTGAGGGGCACCTCACCTTCACAGCTCTTCCCATCGCCAAGGAGGTTGTAGCCACGGGGACAGGCGCAGCGGTAGGATCCGGGGACGTTGATGCACTGATACATGCAGAGCCGAGGGCCCCCGTCCAGCTTGTAGACCTCGCACTCGTCGATGTCTGCGGGGAGAAGGCAGAGCTCGAGGCCGGCGTCCCGCGGCCGTCCCCGAGCCGCGGGCGTCCCTTGCTCACCCCGGCACACGCCGTTGTCCACCGTGCCGCTCATGTGGAAGCCGGCCTCGCAGCTGCAGTGCTGGCTCCGCTCCGTCTTGGCGCAGCGGGGCTTGGGGGTGGAAGGCGAATCGCCGGGGGAGCTTGGACGCAGTCCTGTGCCACGTGCTCTAGGTGCCCCTGCATGTGCAGGGGGTTGGACTAGATGACTCTAGAGGTCCCTTCCAACCTTAAGCATTCTGTGATTCTATGAACAGGGACAGCTCTGCACCCAGCCAGGGCACAGCAGCCAACACCAACCCTCCCACAGTGCCACAACTCCTGCACGCAGGCAGCCTTGGTTACAGGGGCCTGGGTTTGGAGTGGGATTTGGGGCCAAAATGTGCTCTTTTTAAAGAGCGAGCCCTTCCGCTTGTTTTCAATTCCCATGTTTTTTTTTTTTTTTTTTCTCCACGTGATCTTGCATTACAATTCCTGCTCCCCTGGAATTCCAATTCCCCTTTGCCTTTCAGGCCACACACAGCTTGCGTTGGCCTTGGGTGCTTTTTGATGGCCTCGTGACTAGGGAATTGGCTGCACACAGAGGCAGGACAGCATTGGAGCTGGGACAGCGGGATGGAGGCCTTGATACCTCACCACAGGGCTAACCAAGGGGTTGCATGCAAGGGGAAAGAAGCTCCGGGTGGCACATCCGAGCATCCCTCCCCTCTGCTTCCCTAGGGAGGCGGCTCACGCACCCGTCTGCGTTTGGTACTGGCAGTTCATCCCACTCCACTCCTGGGGGCAGAGGCACTCGTACTGGTTCAGCCTCTCCACGCACGTCCCACCGTTCTGGCAAGGGTGGCTGGAGCATTTGCTGATACCTGCCGTGAGAAAGAGCCATCGCTTTTTAGAAGCCAACCCTGGGAGCGTCACTCTGCCGAGAGTCAAGAGATGCTAGGGACAAATATTTGAGCGATATAGATAAAGCAGAAAAGACTAAGACATCCTCAAAACTGCGCACTCCAGCCTGGTGGACTTGGCTTTCAGCTGGGAGAAGCAGGTCTCAGAGAGGGGAAATGATTTGTGTCCACAGGCTGCACCTGTGGCACCATCACCATCCAAGGCAGGACAGCTCTCCCAGTTGTGCTTTGCAGGAGAAGCAACCCAACATCTGAGCTTGGAGGGATAGCTCACAGCTGGGATGCCCAATTGCTTGTCCGTGTTATCTCAAGCTACAGCTGGTGTTTCCGTGGGGTCGGAGGGGTGGAAGCATCTCCAGTCCCTCTAAAGAGGAGCTCTTCCCAGTGGGAAAATAAACCAGAGCCCTCTCCAGGGACAGGCCAGGCAGAGCTTCTCTAGGAATCCAAATCAGAGCAACTCCAAGCTGTTTAGACTGTGTATTCTCCATAAGGTATCAGTCATGGGGAAAGGCCAGGAACCACCCTGTGAAGAGGAACAGCCCCCGCTGCCTGCCACAAGCTGAGCTGGTGTGTCACCAAATATCATGGGCCTGGTGGACCATGAAGTTGCTAAACAAGGAGCCAAAGACCATTGATTCCGTCTTCCTCCTCCAGCCTTGATCTCGCTGCTTGCAAGACACAGGTCCCTTGGCTCAGTCCCAAGAGCTGGGAGGCCACGACTTGCTCAAGCATTCCTCCAGGGAAGGCCACAAAGGGTTTTGCAACCAAGAGTTTGCTCATCCCAACAGCCTCAAAGAAGCCTTTCTTCTGTGATGCCATAGTAAGGCCAGAGGATTAAATAGCTCCCAGCCCCTATTCCCAGCTTTTCTTATTCTTTTTCTGCATGTCCAAACCATCAGCATGTCTGGAGAGACAGATATGACTTCCCAAAGTGCTTTCATTGGGACCTCAATGTGTACTGTGGGACATTCAGTGTGCTGTGGGGCTTGGTGCCAGGTGAATTTAGCCCTGCAAAAACCTGGGACTCAACTTTCTTTGCTGGACAGTAGAACAGGGGGTCTTTGCAAGGCCCAACCTCCATCGAATGAAAGCGGTTGCAATAATTGTGCAAGGGGCTGCACATGCTGCTCAACAGTGGCTCTCTGAAGCAGAGCACAACCCTCCTCTCCACCAGGACAAAGAACAGAGCTGCCCATGAATGACAGGCTTCAGGCAGTGCTGTTGGCAGAACATCTCCAGGATTTCTCCTGGGGGTTTTCACAAGCCGCTGCCAATATTTCAACAACTCAAGGCCTCAAACATATTCCCCTCCACATAATCCTTGCTTCATCTGTGGCTTATCATGTATGCTGGGAGTACAAGGCACTGCCTGATCACAGAGAGCAAAATCTCTGCAAAAAACATTACAAAAAGTTCTTCACTACAATTCCATCTGATCTCAAAGCACAAGAAAGTGGGTTTAGCATTGTTATTAAGAAGTGTTTTCAAGCAGCCCTGCCCTTTCCAATGGCTGAAAACTCATCAAGTTGTTTCAAGGCAATAACTCTCCACCTTAAAAGGGAGAATTGATGCTCTCTTCTCCTCATCATCTCCATTGAGGAAGTTCTGGGTTAGCCTTCCCATTTCACTTCTAGCTTTCCTCCAGATCCATGGCTGGAAAAATGGAGCTCATGGAATAGAAGCCCTTTGGAGCTGGAGCTTTAAGAACTTGGCAAGAATTTGGTTGATTGGAAAGTTAGAAAGCAGAAGCCAAAAGGTGAAACCAGACATAGGGACAAGGAGACTGGGTCAAGGATATAAGACCTTTCAGTCTCTGAATTTCATACCCTGCCCAGAGCTTGTCACTAGCTCAGGGACAAATGAAGTACCCATTCATTTGATGAACCCCAGGAATCCCTTTCCAAAATAATATCCTGCTTTTGCAGATGGGCATGCCAAACTGCTGCCTTGGGAAGACCTAGGCAGTTATAAACAGCTATAAAGGATCCCTGTTCAACATGGGCCTCCTGCCCCAGTGATACCCTGCCTGAGAACAAGCAGTGCTTTGCAACAAACTGCCCATCTCAAGGCTGATTGCAGTAATGGAGGCCAGAACTAGAAATATATTTGGGAAGATTTGTCGCACCTTATCATCAGCTAGGGTAGGATGGGAGAAGAGACCATACCAGCAGCCATATAGAGCCTGCAGCAGGACCCAGACATACTGCCTTGGACCTAAATGCATGACAGAGCATAATGAGTGTTGGTGACATTTCAGCTTCAATCTACCTAGTCATTTTGGAAAATGCACTCTTAAACAAGACTACACCATCCTTTTCTCTTCAGATGCACTAA